AAAAAAAAAAAAAAAAAAAGACAAGGAAAAAAAAAAAAAAAGACAAAGAAACACATTATGCAGAGTGATCTATTTCTAAAATATATATTTTTTAAAAAGCAGATTTCAACAAAATCCAAGATTCTTCCAGGAACAACAGCAAAACCACTCTCAATGCCTTTGAAGAAATAGAGGATTTCCCGGAGACGTCGGTGTAGAAGCGGAACCGGAGCTGGCGTGCGCGTGCGCTGTCTGGCGCTGCAGGCGGAGTCACGGCCTCTGCGGAGAGGCTTTGCGGGGTGATGGAGGTCGCCTTTGCTGGTCTCGAAGCAGAGTGCACCCTCATGTTCAGTGCTCAGTGGGTGTCTGAACTGAGGGGCAGTTGTTAGTTTGTCTGAGTGGGAAACATCCTGGATTTTGTTACTTGGCAAAGAGTTGGTGTAAACCTACAGCCAGCAGCAGTCTGGAGCCTCGGAGCCTCCTGAAGTCCTGGGGAAGCCTCTGATTTTACCAGTTGCAGGTGGGTTTGGCTGGCAGAGATGGGTGGCAGGGAAGGGGCAGGAGCCTTGAGGAGCAGGGAGAGGCGCCTTTCCTCCTGCCAGCTTCCCCCTGTCAGCCCCAGCCCCAGCCCACACGTTGTGCCTTCTCTCCTGCTGTGACTGGGTTGCCTGAATTTGGGGAGACCCTTGATCCCATCCCAGAGTGTGCGGGGGACGGAGGTAAGCCGGATATCCTGGGGGAGGAAGGGAATGAGCTCTGGAAACATCCTTCCGGAACCCTTCAGGGAAAAGGAGAGCATCCTTGGAGTGAACGTCCCCTGGCGCCCCAAGGTTCACCCCGTCTCAAGCTGAGACAGGTTTTTAGTAGCATGAGTAACACAGGGTTTTAATTTTTCAATATGGAAAAGACATTTCAGTTAAGAATGAAAATTACTACAATGAAGTATGTGATTTTCAAAGTGGAGACAGATTGGGAGCTTTGGGGCTGGATGTAAGTATTATATATTTGGCCTCAGGGTGCCCAGAGCCAGACAAAAAGCTTTTCTTCACACACACAAAAGTCTGCATGAGACACGCCGGGCAAGTCCCGCTGGGCCACTGCGATCTGGGTGAAAGGGCCTGGCTCTTGTCCGTGTCCTGGCCTCGCAGTAGCGCCTGCCTCTGCGCTGGGATCTTGGCTTCAGCTGAAGCAGAAATAGCAGCTGCTCGATCGATGCCATCTTACAACTCAGCAGTTAGTCGCATACCTCAGTATGTCTCAGTGGGGGAATTTAACAAAATGCCTCAACTGCTTTGGTATGAAGTATTTTTTTTTTTTAACTGTGAATTTTGAAGCTGAAGGGGGAGCTTGTGAGAGAGAAGCCTTTGCCAAGACTTTGGGCTTATTTTTAGGTCCTCATCCTCTGATGTTCTCCTTCTGAAATGACACAGAGTCAGTCTGGGGGCAGAGGTGAAGTGGAGATGGAAGGATTTGCCAGGTGACTGGGGCCGAAACCACCAGAAAATCCACTCTGCCACCGTTAGCTAGTGAAAGGATTCATGTAAAAATGTTCGAGGTGGAATTATAAAAATAGTAACCGTGAATGTTAATCTTAAATGGGAGAAATAGAAATTTGACCTTCAGATAACACGGCAATGGATTAGTTCATCTGGCTTGAGGCAAGCTAAGGAGTGCGGACCTGGCAGTGCACTCTGGGCCAGTTGCTCTGCTCTGGGCCACTCCGTGTGCCAGACTAGCTGCGCAGATAGAGACTCTGTGCCCCTGATGGGTCTGGTTGGGGAGAGGTGGGCTGGGGTGTGTGCGGCTTCACAATCCACAGCAGCCCCTGCCCTCCCGGCTGACCCAGGGAGTAACTGCATACTCTGAGCCACAGTGGTGGGGGCTGGGCATGGGCCTCTGGAGAAGAGAAGATGTGAGGCGGACTGTCCTAGAGGCAGGAGGAGCGGATGTGTTCCAGAATGGGCAGAACTAGGAAACTGAGAAAGATTTTGGCTCAATCCAATCCAGCAGCTGCTTCAGATGTTGGAGATGTTTAAGCAAAAGCTGGTGGAGCACTTAGTGAGGGATGTTGTTGAAAATGGTCATTGGAAGAAGTGTAAGGTCCCTTTTAGCCTGGAGATTCTGCAGAGCAGCATTCCACATCTGGAGTTAGCTACCCGCATTAAGCCTGAACAGACATCTTGGTCTGAAAGGAAGTGGTTAGGATTCATGATGCCACACTCTACACTGTGGAGCTGGGAATTCCAGAATTGCTTTGACTCGGATATTAACGGAGAAAGTCCTGTCCGTTAATGGATAAAGCTGTATCTTATGGATAAAGCCATATCCAGAATTGCTTTGACTCAGATATTAATGGATAAAGCCAATTATCGATTTCTATTTGCCTAACCTGCCAGCTTTTGTCCAAGTGTGGAATGGAGAGCCAGATGGATGTTTATCATCTCACATGTGATAGAGAGCTGCTCTCTGTGGGTCTGGATGGAATTGGTTGGCAAGACCATTTTCTGTATTGGATATTCTTCCCAACCTTGTCCACCCCAAAAGGCTTTCAGTTAAAAGGTCTGAGCCTGGGTAGGTTTACCAAGGGAAGCCATGAGTCAAGAAGCATCAGAGTGAGAAGGACCACTTCCTTCATTTTACCCCCGTAGGCTAATGCTCCAAAAGGAATATGTACTTGGGCAAAGTCATGCAGGAAGGTCATATCAGAGCTGCGGAGGCTGGAGTGTCCTGATTCTTGGACCACAGATGTCTCCCTGAGCCATTATTCATTTAGTTTTAAAAAGCACAGTTATTCTACCATTTTGAGTCTTTCTTTGTAGTTGGCTTATATTGGGGGGCAGGACTGTTTTCTCAGGTGTTTCATTTGGCAGCCAACATTGTCCCCTGTGTTCCCTGTGACTAGTTGAAAATTCAGGTGTGCCCACAGGGTGCACAAAAGCACACCCACACTCACCGACACACACCCACACACACCCACCCCCCCATACACCCACACCCACACCCCACTGAACCCATGGGTCTATCAGGACATCTTAAAACTCCGTGATTGACATTTCAGTAATTTCAGGTGAAGGCGTTTTCCAGGGATGGGATCTCCCAGGCTCAGATAGTGCCTTGGCTGTAAATGCTCCTTTAGCTAAACTTTTCCTCAGAAGAATTCATTATTCTAGACATTATGTGATATATCTGTTTGGAATAAAAGGTGCTTAACCTTCCTCCCTGGGATGTGGGAGAAGGTGCTGGAGGTTGTACTGTGAAGTCATTAAGCTCTTAGAAGGCTCCCGCCGGAGAGAGTCCAGTATTATTGACATTCCTTTCCTTCCTCAAGGCCTGGTGACCTGTGTCCTTTCGCTCTGGGCAGGGCCCGGGTAGATGGGCCGTCATCCGGGCCTGTAAGCCGTACTTGATTTCTGCATTGATTTACATATTTTTTACTGTGATCTTGGTTCCAAACACAGAATTGTCATCCCATTATCCTTGAATGTGCCGAATCCTTGTAAATTCTTATTTACCTACTTGTTCTTAGTGTTGTGTGTGTGTGTGTGAAACTCTGTGTTCAAGGAAGAAATCGTACAAAGAGTAAGAACATGTTTGTGCCATTGAAGAAATGGTTTTTTGATTTCTAATAAATATTTATTTTGCCTTGTTATGGCCGTGTTTTATCCATGCCTAGGTGTGCCAATGTGCAGACTGACTGGAAACCCTAGAGTGTTGGTAACAGGAGTGGGTAAAGGGAAGGCCAGTTTTTGGACCTGAAGTATTATCATTGGTTCCGGCTTACGAACAGAGCCAGCAAGCCATCAGACATGTCACCTTTGTATGTATTTGCATCTCAAAGCACATTCACATCAGGTAGCCAATTTGAACCATTCAGCAGCTGTGGAAGCAGTTTGAGTTAAAGGAGACTCGGGGTTGAAGCGATGTGCCCCAGGATGCACAGCCAGATAATGTCAGTCGTTCAGGCCATGAAACCTCTCAGAGTGCTGCGTCCACTTCTGCACAGCAAAACAAACTACCATCAGAGTGAACAGGCAACCTACAGAATAGGAGAAAATTTTTGCAATCTACCCATCTGACAAAGGTCTAATATCCAGAATTTACAAGTAACTTAAACATATTTACAAGAAAAAAACAACCCCATCAAAAAGTGGGCAAAGGATATGAACAGACACTTCTCAAAAGAAGACATTTACGTGGCCAACAAACATATGAAAAAAAGCTCATCATCACTGATCATTAGAGAAATGCAAATCAAAACAACAGAGAAATACCATCTCACACCAGTCAGAATGGCGATTATTAAAAAGTCAGGAAACAATAGATGCTGGAGAGGCTGTGGAGAAATAGGAACACTTTTACACTGTTGGTAGGCATGCAAATTAGTTCAACCATTGTGGAAAACAGTGTGGTGATTCCTCAAAGATCCAGAACCAGAAATACCATTTGACCCATCAATCCCATTACTGAGTATACACCCAAAGGAATGTAAATCATTCTACTATAAAGACACATGCACACGTATGTTTATTGCAGCACTATTCACAATAGCAAAGACATGGAACCAACCCAAATGCCCATCAATGATAGACTGGATAGAGAAAATGTGGTACGTGTA